TTTTTGGTGGTCCAGTTCTTCCTGATTGACTTCCTGATGATGGTGGTCCAATTCTTCCACGCGTCCATACTACCAACATGGGTATCACTGCGATTGTGTTTGCCCAGCATCTCGGTCGTTAGAAATTACCTGCGGAATTCTCTTGAAACTTTGTTTAAAATCCATTTGGAATTTCACTCAAAAATTGATTTTCTCGGTATTCTTTTCGAAATTATTTTGGAACTATCCGCAGGACGAACTAGAAATTTTACGTAGAATTTTCTTGGAACTCTACCCAGAAATAACTGTCCTAAGAATTCAATATCTTTGAGGTTCTTCTCGGAATATTTTAGAACTTTTTTTTTCTCAGAACACTTTGGAACTTAAATTCCCTTAAAATGTCAGAAGAATTTCCTCTGTATTCTCCTGAAATTCTTCCTAGAATTAGCTTGAAATTATCCTCGGAATTCCCTTGAAATTTTTCCCAACATTCCTTTGGAATTTCATACAAAATTTGATTCACTCGGTATTCTTTTCGAAATTATCTTGGGACTATCTGCAAGATTCACTAAAAATTATTTGCAGAATTTTCATGAAATCATCCCCAGAAATCTTTTCTTTTGGAACTGTCCTCAGAATTTAATACCCTTTATGTTCTTCTCGGATATCAAGTTTAATGTGTCTGTCCATTCACCAAAACGTTGCAGTTTTTCTACCAGAACTGTGCAATTTTTAGATCAGGAATTTTCAATTAAGCTTGCACCTCCATGCAGCAGCATGTTGCAAATCATACACCAGAAATTTTCAACACAAACTTGCCCCCAGAAAATGTAACACCAGAAAATTTGAACTGACCAGAACGATGCAAATTTTCCACCGTTAATGTTCAATTGAAATTGCTTCTCCAATCTTCTTATTGGTGCCGATTTACTTTTCCATTTTCCACCAGACATTTTCAAATAAAGCTTGCCCCAATTTTCATATTTTTCATCATAAATTGTCAGCAGAGCAGCTTCCCTCCAATCATCAGAATGGTGCAAATTTTACACCAAAAATTATTATTAAAATAAGTTTCTCTATTCAGAATATTTAGGACCAAACATTTTCCGAAAAGCTTGCCCATCCGTTTACCAGAACGGTGCAGATTTTCCAATAGAAATTTTAAATTTAGCGTAATTTTAAATAAAGCTTGTGCCTTAGTTTACCAAACTAGTTCTAGTTTTCCACCAGAAATTTTGTGTTCATTTTATGTATTAAAGCGATGCAAATTTCGCACTAGAAATTTTCAATAAAGCATGCTTCACCAGAACGGTGCACCAAAAATTGTCAGTGAAGTTTGTTTCACCATGCACCTTTTTGTAATCGGTCAAATGCTTTAATTTTAGATATAAGACATTTAACATATTTGACTCGACCTTCGCCGATTTGCATGAAACTTTGCATAATTGTGTGTTATGGGCAATCATTCAGATTTTTTCGAAAATTTGAACATTTTGGAGCTTATAACTTTTTTTCAAAACGGCGTCTTTTAAATTTTTCAATAAATTATAGCACGAAAATCAACATTTCTGATTGAAATGACGTCTGAAACAACGTTGCTTAGGAATGTTGAGTCGTTCTGTGAAAAATATTCACTAAATATATTTTTTTATATAAAAATCTGCTATTTCTCAATTTTATCCAGATGAACGCGTCACGGTACTAATTAGACCTGTGCGCCGATCGAAATATTTTCGGCAGCGGCGTGGCGGCGTGAGTTTATGTTTAAAGATTTAGAAAAAAAAAATACCTCCAAACCAATCGCACATGGACAAAAAAATAGTTCAGATTACTCAAAAACGTTAAAACTAAGGTCACTCATAGTTTGAGTAAATTATCCAATACTTTGTGAACTAGTAGACAGAATAGCATAAAATCATTTTTCGTCATATTCGAGATGTTTTCCTTGGAAAATCGTTGGAAAATTTACCCATTCTATGAGTGATCTACGTTTTCGCGAATTTGAGTAACCCGAACTCAAATATGAGTAACTTTTACTCAATTTTGAGTCGTTCTCATTGGCCATGCATGTGGTATTTGTTTATAAAAGTATGTCAAGTGCTTGTTAAGATTGCAGGGGGTGAAGCCATATGGTAAAGTGTTACAACCCTTTTATTAAGTATAAGAAAAGTACGTTATGTAGGGGTGGATATTATTTAAAAGCAATCTGTTGCATTATGTAACATTTTAATGGCCTCTAGGAATTGTTTCATTTAGACGGGAACAAATCACAAGTTTTTATTTTGTCACTCGATGCTCGCACGAATCGAAAGGGGGAGGGAATTTAAAAATCAACAAACAAAAAAAAACATTGAAAATTCATTTAACATCACATATATATTTCAAGCGTTAATTATTACTTACTTACTTTACTTACAAGTAACTTACAAGTCTTATACTTCTACTCTGATGATTTTATTATGTGTAACACTTACTTTCAAAGGACGGTATCAAAATCCAACTTAGCAGAAAAGGAAACCCATATTTCTAAAAATATAGTTTTCGAATCACAAACCCGGTTCAACCTTCACGTATGGAGGTCAATTCAATAAAATGTAAGCTTATTTTTCAAAGATATGGATCGAAATGCAATTTGGCAGAACTAAACAACTAAATTTTTATATAAATACGTATGGATTCAGCAATTCTATAAAAATCCACGACTATTTGTATAGGAAGGAGCCAAAATCTAACTAGGCTGAACAGGAAACACAAATTTCTATGAAAATACGTACTTTCGAGAATTTAAACCTGGTTTTCTAAAAAAAATTGCATTCTTCAAAAAATTAAATATCACAAATGAATTCAGCAAGGTCCAGTCTATAAAATCTAAGCCCATTTTTCAAAGGACGGAGCCAAAATCCAGCTTAGTTGAACAGGAAACTAAAACTTCCATCAAAATACGTATTTTTGTGAATTTAAACTCCTAAAATTAAAAAATTCAGCCCTGACGTATGGATCCAGCAAGGTCCATTCTAAAAAATCGAAGTCTATTTTTCAAATATCGAAGCCGAAATTCAACTACTTTTGGGAATTTAAACTCGGTTTTCTCAAAAATTGAGAAATTCTATCGTCACATTTGGATTCAGCAAATTCTATTCCATAAAATACAAGCCTATTTTTCAAAGATAGGAGCCTAAATTCAGTTAGGCAAAACATAAAAATTTAAACCAGGTAGGTCTTTCACGTACGGATTCAGCAAGTTCCGTTCTATAAAATCTAAGCACAAATTTCAACAAAAGAACAGAAATCCATCCTGGCTTCAAAAAAATCTACCATCACGTATGAACTCACACAGGACTATTCTTTAAAATACAAGCGTGTTTTTCAAAGGACGGAGCCAAAATCCAATTGGCTGATCAAGAAACCCAAATTTATATAAAAATAAGTACTTTCGTGGATATAAATCCACTTTTCTCAACAATTGTGCATGCTTAAAAAAATCTACCGTACCATGAACACACGAAGGTCCATACATTGAAATGTCAGCCAAATTTTCAAAGGAACAACGAGGAAGGGGTCTAGGGGAGCAGAATCTACGTTAAAAGTTAATAAAATCACTTCAGGAAAGCTCAGACTAACATTAAATATAATTCAATCACTCAATAGAAAAGTTTGGACTCCCCAAGAAAGGTATTGAACCACTTCAGAAAAGGTTGTAAGCCGTTTGGAAAATTTAAGCTAAAAAAGTGGCGGTTCACTTCGGAAAATTCTACACCAGAAAAATTTTGAGATTTGTTCCGGCCTTATTGAGCATAACACGATATTAATATGACAGCGATAAATGATTACTTGTATTACTTGTACTACTCTGATACATATTTGAATGTACATGCATTGTAGTCATATAACTTTTTGTTTATGTATTTGAAGATGATGTATTTTGAATACACGTATAATCCCGCACAACTTGAACCTGTAAGAGGTCAAATATCAACATGTTGTTAATAATAGGCACTTATTCACCTTTATTTAAATCCGATCCGAATGATTCATTCCTGAGTGCTTGATCGAGAAAGTGCAAACAAACGTCAAAAAACTATATGACAATCACTGCATCACACACAAGTTCTAATTTCAACAAAGTCAACATGCTTTTTACCAAAAATTTCGTTAAATTAAAAGGTCTGCTCTGAAGTTCTACAAGCTTGTCTGAAGTTTTTTGTTTTCAATATTATCCTGATGATGTTTTGGAATTTTCCCTGAAATTAATGGAGTTGTAATAAAGATCCCATAAGTTTTCTGTGTTTAATGTTCCCAAAGCTCTTTGAACTTCCCTGGACTTTTTTAGGCGTCACTGAAATTTTCGTAACTTTCTGAAGGTTTTTACTGTTTTCTTCAAATTAGTAGAGCTGTACTAAACTTTGCAGAATTAAAGTTTTCAGAACTACTCCAAATTTTACGAAACTTAGGCTAACTAACATAGCATAAAATAGTTTTTTTTTTAAATGTTTAGAATCTGTTCATGCGGTGAAGCATTAGAAATTCTGCATTTTTTATAAAAATGTTCAAATGAATCTTAAATCTCCCGGATGGGTGAAGTTAACCCCCATTAGCTCAATCAATATCTACCACTGGTAACAATACTCATTGAAATTCTAAACATGCATCGCCATCCTATACGCTATCCACAGTAATCCAAACCGTTCAATCAACCCAAAAGTAACCACTCTATTACTATTTCGCCGCAGGACATCTGCACTGTGCGCTGACAGCTTCTTTATCCGCATCATTAGTAATCAACTGCTGTGAACATACCCGCACACACACACACACACAGACACACCTTCACCGAGAGCCCCGTCCCGTCCCTAGGGTCGAAAATGAATTATGAACGGAACTTTTTCCCGCAACCCTCATCCAAACAATCCACGATAATACATTGCCCCCGACTCACTCAAGGACACAAAACGAAAGCTAACTTTCTTTGAGTGAACCACCCAAGGGGAAAACCCATATCGGCGAAGAAAACTTCCACCTACCTTCTTTGTATTCGAGGACGAGTTTGACGTTTTCACTTCTGCATCCACACAGTTCAGTCCGGCCCCACGATCGATCGATGACTTGTGGGCAGCCTCCCAAATCTCAAGGAGAGAAAGTTTTCCGCTTTCAGAACGGTTCTTATAAGCTAGCAAAAACTTCACTCCACCTACGATTTTTTTTTTTCCACCCGCTTGAACAATTCGTTGCTTGTGGCACAGCTTTTTCCCTTCAATGAGTATTATATTTGCACTCCCTTTTGACAATGGAAGAGATTCAATTGCAATGAAGAAATCAAATTTCCAGTCAAATTTTGTTTTCACAACTGCCAATAATGTAGTCTAACACGTTTTATTTCCTTTCAAGCATAGTGATCACACTTCCTCCGAATTCTACTTCCACAAACAAATTCTATTCCCTTGTCGCTTCACGACACAATATTGTAACCGCGATGTTTGCAACAGATATGCAATTTTCCCCGATTGTACCACGAAACTAACCGCGCGAAAGCGTGAAACTCATCAGACATGGAAATCACATTCCACCGGAGGCGACGTAAAAATGCATTTCCGCGAGCAATCACTACCTACATCACATCGCACTCTCCAGGCTAGCTCCAGATTGCTACCGACAAGCATGCACAACTAGCCGACTACTAGCCGAGATTGACGGTTTCGCTTGTTTAGTAGAGCGCTGCGCACTGTAACTAGCGTTGTTGATGTTGTTGATGACTCTGTGGCTGCTGCTTTCTGCCAGCCAGTTGTTTAACTCGTGTAAACTGAAATTAGAGAAAGTGGAATAGGAAAATATTAGTGTATTCCTCTGCCTGGTAGGTTGGGTAGGATGGTGCAAAACGCACCGTTTTTGCAAAGTATTCAATTGATTGTGTATGGATGCTTAAATCAAGGAGAAAGTAATGAAGGATGGCTAATTACAATGTTTTCTTTCAAGATCGAGTGATTTCGAAATCCAAAACGATGGTTTTTTCATGTTTTAAAATGGCATTTTTTTTTTTTAAATGGATATCAAAATGATAGAAGGAGAAAACGCCTGATTCATGGTGTAATATGCATCACAACATTGGGGCAAGACGCACGACAACATTGGGGTAAAATGTGCTGCTTGATAGAGATAAGTGGAAGTGACCCTGCCTGCGAGTAAAACAAGCAAAGGCATGAGGTGTTTGAAATAAATATTCCTTTGCTTTACAGCATATATAAGGTCTCAATAGAGTGTCACACTGCTATTCATAAAGTAAAACATCTAAAGTGAAAAGTGAATTCGTTCCATTGGCGTAATTTGTAGTCGATAATTTTAACAAAACTATGTCAAGTTTTCCACATAAAACATTTTTTTTTAAAACAGAATTGGTAGGACGTTGTTTACCCCCCTGATGATAATAGGTTAAAGTATTGCCGAAGCCAACTTTTCCCATATGCCAATATATGGTTCTATCATCAGGAATTATTTGTGAAACCTCCAGATGAAAACAGGCACAATCCGTTACCAGGAAAAAAACATCTGGGGAAAAGTTATCGTTGTTCTTCCGCAAGTGGGCATTTTACCCCAGGGGTGCATTATAGGCTCTTCTCCCCTATACTGTCGATGGTGGAGGAGAGAAATGAAATGCGATGTCGAGATTTTTGCTGGGTGGTTTCGGCTCCAGTTCGGATGGGCGGTTGGGCGGGGGTGGTAAAAATAGCGAGTGTTTGTTTATGCTACTTTCTAGCGCACGGGAGTGATGGTTACACATACTAGGTGTTCGGAATCAGAGTACGGCGGGAAGGTTGATGCAGGAGGGGTGGTGTTTGATCTAATGAGATTAAACATGCATTTGCGAGGCTTAATCTTGCGCGCACTACATGCACGGGAAGACTTCGGAGCCGAGCATTATAAATTTAAATTTTGTTAATTATGTCGCATATTGTGTGTAGGCGGAGGCAGTGAGATTTAGATTAAGCGTAGAAACGTGAAGATCGCGGTTGGAATAACATCTGAGAGCATCACTTGAAAATTTATTCCTGCGCATCGAATCGGAATTAGTGAGGGTAAAACAATGTTAAGCATGTTTTCCAGAATAATTTTCGTTGTTGCAGTATAATTAGTAATTATTAAAACATCTATTTGTTTATAGAACGGAACGAATATGATAAAGGAAATTGATGCAAATTTATTACTATAATTGAATGAAATTAAACTGTATTTGCTAATAATGCAAAATATCGACCGTACACGACGAAATTAACAAAACAGCAGTCACTATCAAGAAATGAAAATAATTTGCAAAGTATGGCATGTCATTTGTTAGTGACAATGCTGTTAGAAATGCACATTTTTTTTCCTTTTGGTTTGTTTTTTCCGTCGATCTTGTTTTCCGTGCTGAGCACCAATGCTACCGACGTGCCAGGAAGGCAGCTCCCACACCTGGACCCTATCTATCGACCCATCAACTCATGAACCGGGGACCAACGGCTTTACTTCCCATTCCGAAGGAAGGCGTAATCAGAGATGTTATGCCTCAGAACATCCCGGTGGCGCCGACTGGGATTGAACCCAGGCCTGCTGGGGTGAGAGGTAATCACGCTTACCACTACACCACCGGCGCCGTTCAGTCAGTCGATGGTGTGTTATAATGCAATTCTTCTTTACCCAACTATTGTGTTGCTCCTCTCGTCATGACCAACGTAGGCATCTTAGAGAGAAAGCATTTGACGAAAACATTGGACAGGGGAACGTCTCTTTGCTTCATTAATTTTGCTTTAATAATCAAATGGCATGATGACCTAAGATTAGAAAAATGTAAATATTATATGCCTGTGGACCGAAGAATAAGGAATGTATGGTTAATATGAACATGTGCAAGTTTTGTTTTCATTGAATTTTTTAAACCAATTATCGATGAACATTTCAAAAGATCCTATCTACTTTAATCGATTCTCTTAATTGACTTTCTCTTTTGATAACCACTGCTATGCAAACAGATTTTACGTTATTTTTACCATTTAGTTTCATAAAGGAGGTTCTTATCAAGTGTCAAAATCATCAAATACAACAGTGAAAGGTTTTGCAGCTAAGTTATTAACGAAAGAGAATGTCGATGAAGAGTATCGATAAATGCAGATAGAGCATTTTGAAATGTTTATCTAGAATAATTCTGTTTGATTTGTGTTGTTTGATTTTGACGGCTCCATGAATTTAGTTTGCTTAATTTATATAATAATTATATAAATTAAGCAAACTAAATTCATGGAGCCGTCAAAATCAAACATCCATGACTTCAAGAGAATGAATTACAATAACATAAACAGAAATTCACATAATTACACTTTTTGTTATTAGGTGAAACTTTGTCATTGAGTGCAGTTTCGAACCCCTTTCGATACGGTTTTGTTATAAGTTTGCTCTCTGTTTTGTGTGTGCGTTCGCTTTTATATTTTTCGGCTGTATTTGCCTGATAAGCGCTGGCACTCTGCCTCCCGGACGGTTTTTTTCCTCTGTTCGGGACCTAACACTACTGCGACCAGTAAATTGATCTATTGTAGTATATCCCGTGTCCTTAGTTTAGTGCATGTCGTATTACTCCATCACTATTGAGAAATGATGAAGTATTCGATTTTTTTACAGTTGCCACTCTTGCATTTATCGCAAGGATCCGACTCTAATTGAAAGGTCCCGCTATTTATACCCTTCGGAGTGTTGAAACACCCTCCAAAGGCGCGCCCCTTTGTCAGTCAAAATTGGATTCCTTAGCAACAAAATTAAGGTATGACACCGATAATGACCATGCATCATAACCCTAGTCTAAATCACTTCAAACTAGGGAACAACGAATAGAAGATTAGGAATCACATAGATGAAGACAACTAACTCATTTTTTTTTCTTGTTTCAAGATTATCCTCGGTAGACAAAGCCGAGTCTTGTCACTATCAACAAGGCATACAAAGTAATAAGGACTAATATGTGTTCCTTGGATTACTGAAAAATCCTGTTCCCCTAGTTTGAAGTAGCCAGGACTAGGAATCGGTAATAGATCTTACATCCCGTAACGTACCACGAAAAGGTGATCTACCTTAGTTACGGGGTCTCCCAAATGGTTATATGGTGTGATTGGTGGTTTTCTCGCTTTCCGGGAAGTTTTAGAATCGAGAATGAAAACGTGGTTCATCATGTTTGCAAGCATTAGAAGAGATGTCGCTATTTGCGTTGTTTGATTTTTCTTCCGGACCAGAAATTTGTGGCATCTCGAGTGATAATTTTTAATTTAAGTTTATTTACGCGCTGTAAGGTGCGTGAAAGAGCTCGGCACGGTCGGTGTTAATGTTGGATCGCTCGCAACTATTTTTGAATAAAATTAAGTGTTTTCGACCGAAATTGATATCGAAAGTGTACCTAAATTCTGCACGTGTTTCGGCGTTGGGCGTGGTGAAATTCGTGCCTTCCGGGTTGATTTTCAGTGGTGTGTAATAACAAATTTGTTTTTGACTCAGTTCCCACCTGGATCGGGTATCAAGATTGGGCCTGTTTGTTGTCTGTCAAACGTCAGTGTAAACATTTGTTTTTGTAACCTGGCTCGGGTTGAGGTTCGCACTGACGATAAGCTGAATAATAAACAAATTCGCTATAAGTGTGCTTGTGATTTTCATTGCCTCTCGGTAGGCCAGTTCATTGTGTTCGGATGTCAAGCTTTCGGCGGGTAGTTCTATCAAGAGTCTTGTCACCGTGTGCGAGTTTGAACACGGTCCGGTTGGAAAATTAGCCGGGGAAAGTGCTGATAATGTATTCGTCGCGAGTTTTGGTGGTGATTCGGTGGCTGTCGTTGCCGTGAATCAGTAAGTTTACGACTTGCAAAAGTGCTGTCTACTGGTCTCTCGCAAGTGTCGGAGATTATGAGCAAACTGAAGGATGCCTCGCTGGATACGCCAAAGACTGAACGGGCGGTAGCTGGTGGCCGTGGACGGTTCCTGGGGAAAGCACTAGATGCGAACTTTCTCCCAGATAACCATGGCAATGCATGAAAATTTGTTTTCGTCGAACGAAGTATTACAACAAAGGTAATTGCTTATACGAAAGTTTGAAGATACAAACAGGTAAGCACAAATCATCGGCAAGAGACGTGTGTGTGATAAAATTTGCGAAAAAATCTAAGGGCACCGGTGGGATTTGAAACCACAATTCATCACGAAACGATTGCTTTCCAAAGTCAACAACGCATCGACCGAAAGAACTGCTGATGAAGAACAGTGAGGAGGACCACACAATGGTAGCTGCTGAGTAAACAGACGATCGCGTGATACACATTGAGAGTGGTCTGCTTTTGTCGAGAGCCGAGTGAACACTGACCCCAGACTATTGTGCGGTTGCAAATTTATGGCGAGTCTTTACATTCTACTTCTTAAAAACTCATTGGCTCTTAAAAAAAGTTTGATACATTCAATTCAATTGCATAACAAAATCTGGATAGCATTCCCCAGTCATAATTTTTTTTAACAAAGTAAACAGAATAGGGTTAACTACCCCATTTCCGGCCTATTAAGCACTATTCGCAATTAGTCTTTTTTAATCTTGTGTAGTTTAGCCCCAAACGGAATGTTATTATTACTGGTGGCTTCCAAACTTATTTACCTTTCCGTACATACTGTAAGATTTGATAAAAAGAAACAATTTGTTGAGATATTGTTAAAAGTCTAACACTGCTTCTTGACGCCAAAATCGGCCTACGGATTATAAATTCGGCCTAACGCATTGAAACGCCAATGAATTGACTTCGGCCTATCGGA